CCCCCCCGAAGAGTACCTAATGTAATGAGGGATCGTAAACAGAGGACGCCTCGCGTTCAGGGGTCATGAACTAACCAATCAACTGCGCCGTGAACAGGGTGTTTTTCGAGACCTCTAGCCTCTGGGTGGGTGTTTGGGGGGGGGGGCTTGGCCACAGCCTCTAATGACTGCAGGGTATCATGAACTAACTATTTCTTTTCTCCATGTTGTAACAAGGCCCTCTCACCTTGCCGTGACAGTAGGTATCAGCAGGCCCTGTGTTGAGAATGAGATCGGGGGGGGGAACAGCTCGCAAAGTTTCTCCTATGGTTCATTTTATCTGACCAAGCCTCCGTGATCTATGCCCTGTCACAAAAAAAAGCGCTGTAGTATTAAATCCAGCTTGGGTTTCTGACTGTGTTTGACTGGTTCTCACCCTGTGCGCGTGGCATAAAGATCCCGTTGTCTGTCGTCTTCATCACTCGGTCAGCAGCGATCCTGGCCAGAACGATCGCCGCCTTTCAGGACCAGTGCTGTGTGTGTGTTTGGCTGTTTGACGAATGTCCAGGCAAATGCTTGCTCAGGTCCACTAATCTTGTCACACTGTCGATGTATTTCTGAAGAGCGCATTATAATCAGTGACATAAACCGTCACAGCCGTGACCTCGCAGACACAAGCAGGATAAATAACCCATAGATTATCCTTAAAATTGACAAGCGTTTTCCTGTGTAATTATGCTTTTTTTGTTTTAGGGGACATTTTATGCCATCTTGCAGGGGCTAAAAGTTCAGCCTCATGATGTATGTAACTGATGATACATAGTCCTGTAAAAAAAACATCGAGTTTATGCCAACGGAGACTTTTCTGCTAGACTCGTTCTTCATGAGAATACAATAATGTCTCACCAGAAGAATTTACGAGCTGCAGGCTGGATTGCTTTTCATAAGGAATGTAAAGTGGGACGTATCTCCAGTAGGCCGGCATCACCTTCAAAGCGGCTGTTCCGTTACTATTTCGGGCCTTATCAGCCCAAGATGGACGCCAAAAGAGGGGTTTATTTTCCGTCCCAGCCATATATGGGGCGCTGGGCTCCGCGTACCATGGCTCCTTTCATTATCGTGCTTGAAAATTGCACATAATAAGCGCAGGAATGCTCTGCACGCTGTCACGGGTTGTTTCCAACCTCGTTCTGGTATCCTTTGGTATGCCGCAAGCACCGTGATCTCACTGATCTCAGTGCCGAGTTACAGTAACAGCGATAGCATCTGTGCTATCTTAGCGTGGATCGCCCCCTTGTTTTTCTTTGATTCGGGCCAGAACAATCCCGCCCCGGATAATCATTCCGTCCGGCTGTGCCTTGCAGGTGTCCCGGTCCACGTGTTTGTCATTAGGCCTTTGAGCACCTGTTTCTGCAGCTGATATGAGTCTGTAAGTCTTTTTCTTTTGAAACCTTCGAGTTGCGTTTTGCTCATTAGTTTCAACTGCGGCGAAGCTAATAGTGCCACTGAATTCTTAGTATAGGAATGAATGTTTTTTTTTCCTCATGATTTTTGTGATTTAATAAAGACAAATGATTATGACAGTTATCCTTGTTGGCAGCTGCATCAAGTGAAACATTAGCTAATGCTGACTTGTGTGTTTCCCAGTGTTAGTGTTTATTTCTAAAATAGATTAAAGATTAATAGATTAATTGACTGTCCTTTTATGGGTAGAATAGAATATCATTGCACTGGCTCTTAAAGTTGTTACATTAAGTTGATGTTCGACATTCTCTCCTTTCTCAGAGTGAGGTCACCCTTATGCCAGTGTCCTGCACGATCCGGGGGGGTCCATCATTGCGGCTCGCGGTCCCTGCTTCTGCAGGTTTCACGTTCACCTTCAGCGAGTCTCTGAACCAGGCGGGCCGCACAGCCGAGCGTGAGCTAAACGACAAGCAGACAGGCCTCCCCAAATATAGCACCACTGACGTCCCAACTATAGAGGGCAGCAAAATTAAATTACAGGATATTAGCGGCGAGATACAATTTGCAGGTCAAAACGTAATAGCAGCCTTTCACTGTGTGTTTTGAGTATTGACTCATTTGCAGCTGAATTTGGTGAGATTGAGCGGGCGGGGGGGGGGCGGGGGGGGGGCAATAGAGACTTAGTGGCATAAAGGCACTGTTGTGTATATGATGACATAACAGTCATATTTATCACCCACTGGCTGCAGGCGAGTTAAATAAAGTCAATAAAGGTAATTATTATATTATATTATCAGAAACCCACCCCAACCCCCACCCCCCCAATTACCATTATTGCCCTAAGGGCTCTGAACGCGTATATATATAAATACCAAACCATCTCATGTCATTTTAATTTGGTCTGAGCATGGATTACAGCATTATTAAATTATATACCAGAAAATGGTTTAATATTAATCGCATCATGTTTGCCCGCTATCAGCGGAAGAAAAAAAAAAACGCGTCTTGATGGGCGGAGACGAGTGGCCCATTCGTTATGCTAATCTCATTTGTTAAGATCTGTTAAGTAGAGAGCAGTTTTAATGCATGCTTTTCAGTTTTAATTATGGACCATAAATAAGTTTTAGTACATTAGTACCGCAAGTGAATTGCCATGTTTAAATAGATTATGGGACAAAAACATTATCCAAATGTACATATTGAACTAATCTTGCATCTTAAGGATATTAATGGCGACATTACTGTAATTTGTGATTTGGCGTTTAACCTCGTGCCCTTCGCCAGCACGTCCGAGAGGCCGGGGTTTTAGGCCGGTCCTCTCTGATGGCGGACGCAGTCACATGTGCGTGAAAGATCAGCGTGCGTGAAAGATCAGCGTGCGTTTCACACGCAGCATGCACCACCAGCTGTATGTGTCTTGGAATGACGTGCTTTGTGTTTTTAATGGACTCATTATTGTAATAGCTCGAGACTGCATTTTTCTCATATATATTTTGGTCTGAGAGTCATTCTGCCTCGCCTGTCAGTAAAGTGTATGCGCTACGACGTTTTAAGCAGAATGGTGGAGAGCATGTTGATTAAAGTCCCATTGCGGGGCCACGCTCTGGCAGTTTTCCGCGATGTTCATCGGTTGCCGCTGCCACTGACAGACAGCCAACATTCTCTCAGCTGCACAATCAGTGTGTTGAAGGGAGTTTTTCCTCTGACTTTAAACTAGGCTATTTATGGCCAAACGTGTCTCTCGCTGTATGGTAACTGTTTATCGTTTTATGGCTTTGCTCTATAAATGTCCTTGTCTTTTCCCTGATAGAAACAGAAGTGGATGACAAATGTGTTGCTTATTTTTTGCATTTTAGTCTTTGGTTACGTTCACACTGCAGGCCTTAATGCTCAATTCTGATTTCCTGCTCAGATCGGATCTTTTGTTTGCCTGTTCACATCACTCTTTTTAATGTGGGCAATATCAGATTTCAATGTGAACGGTTCACTATACTGATCTGGCCCGCGTGCGCAAAAACAAAGATGTCACTTTATTGATTCGAAATCTGCCCGGTTACGATATGAGCCTCCCAGTTTTGCCTGAACATATTTATCTCCCCAAATACTTATTAAATCCAGCACCTCACTGTCCCTCCACTAGCCAGCTTCTGTGTTCTCCATGTTTGACACTCTGACGGAGACATATGGTGACTTCCGCCTGCGCAGAATTGCGCCGATCGCCGATCGAAAGTGACGTGAAAGTCTCACGAATTCCGATTTCGCTGTTCAGACTGAGGTCGCATTGCAAAAAAATCAGACCTGTATCCGATTTATGACCACATACTGAAGTGGCCCAAATCGGAATTGAAAAAATCGGATTCCATGTGACTTGTGCTGTTCACATTGTCATGAAAAAATGTGATCTGTGTCACATATGAGCAAAAAAACGGATTTGGGTCACATTTGTCCTGCAGTGCGAACGTAGCCTTAGTTCCCTTCACGTTATGTGTCTCCGTGGGGCTCAGCCTTCCTCCTTTGGTTACTCCCATAACCGTCTTGCGGAGGAGGGCTGATTTCACGGCTCGCATCCTGTACTTTCATGTATTAAGAATCGGTTTGTTTGAGAGATTAGAGAGCGTGCGCAGCAGGGAAGGTGACCTCCGACCTGCGTAACCCCCCGACCCCTGCTGCTCCTCAGGTGGCCCTAGTGCGCTGGACGGACAGCGTGGGCCTGACGCTGGTGAGCAGGGACTTGACCTCCATGCAGCTGAAGACTCCTGCCGGACACATCCTGACCTTTCACATCCTGCAGATATTCCCCTTCACGTCGGAGAGCAAGAGAATGGGCATCATTGTTCGAGTGAGGCTGACGCTTAAGCGTGTGTTTAATCAGAATCAGGGCAGCTCACTGGGAGTCGCCGGAGGCTGGATGTGACGCACTTAAAAACACATACTTTTATCAGTGTTCCCCAACCCAGTCCTAGGGGAACCCCAGATGGTCCACGTTTTTGCTTCCTGTCACACATTCCACATTTTTGCTCTCTCACAGCTCCTTATCGGTAGGGAACTGGGATAGAGCAAAAACCTGGACTGTTGGGGAATCCCCAAGGACCAGATTGGGAAATTGTTATTTAAAATAACAATTAAGTAAATGTGCTACTGTTCCTATTTTTATCTTGTAGTCTGCATGAGCCAGTATTGCAAAGTTGTATCCTTTGTGTTTGTTTGCTATATTTTTGGTATTTTTATGCTCTGTGGTTTAGTCCTGCACAGTAATTTCCCTCGGAAGGAATAAAGTTTATCTTAAATGCAGGTTTAATTTCTCTGTTGATTTTATGTTAAGCTGCCTGCATTAGCTGTATGCCATGCCCGGCTCTTTATCCACCCTCACCCCGATGACGGTCCTTTTCAGGAGGAGGCCACGGGTGACATCACTTTCTATATGAAGGGGGCTGACGTCGCCATGGCAAGCATCGTGCAGTACAACGATTGGCTGGAGGAGGAGGTAGGCCGGCTGGCCTGCCGTTGGCCCCTGCAGCTCGGGGCCCCGTTGGCCACACCCACACGGACACATGACCTACAGTAGCGTTCCCTGCAGTGACTCCTTACTATCAAATATCCTTTTAAAATGCTTTTAACTTAATTACAAGGCACCCCAAAACATTGTTTTATAAATGATGCAAAGGCCATGCTAATGAATACATTATGATTTATGTCTTAAAATGATTACTTTCTCAGAGTGCTGAGAGAATCCCAGTTGGAAAATACATAGGATTTATAATCTCTTTGTATTCATAATGTCATCAAGGATATACACATATGAACACAACTCTCTATGCTTAATATATATGCATATCTATTAAGAGATATATACTGTAGAGACAAATATATTAAGAGATATATATTCACATACAGTGTAGCCAAAAATTATTTGTGCACTGTGGGGAAAAGTGGGGAAAAAATGGAAATGATATTGAGGATATTTACCATGATGTGTGTTATATAAAGAAACAAGAAAATGTTTTATTCAAAACACATTCTGTAATTGTTTTCAAATGATGTAATTTCATCATCAACCATTTTTTCACAGCATACAAATAATTTTTGGCTACACCATATATATATGTGTGTGTGTGTGTGTGTGTGTGTGTGTATGTGTGTGTGTTCTTTTACTTTTATTTTTTATAAATATTAAATATAGCAGTATATAAAACACTTAGGGGCTTTGTGCATTTATGCTTATCATTGTATTGGCATTATTTGGGTGTCAATAAATGCCACGGGGCGTTTTATTTTAATTAGTGTCCCAAATAAGGCTGATCCCCGGGTGACCATGTGACATGTCATAATGTCAGTTAACACCCTCGCTGACATTATGACATGTCACATGGTCGCCCGGGGATCAGCCTTATTTGGGACACTAATCGCGATCATCATGCAGCCCGTCGCGATGTCCTGGCATCCCGGATCCGGGGCTGCGTCCTCGTGCCTCTTCCACGTCGGTCCTTCCTATCCCCGTCCGTTCCCCTGTTTATCCATGCGCTCAGTGTGTGCCCCCGGCACGGCCTTCGCCATCGATCCCCGGCTCAGTACACGGCACCGTTTCAGTCCCAGAGGCGGCACCTAAGTGTCTATCTGAATGGGCAGCGCTCACTGCGCTAGGTCATACATTTGTTCTGGATGATTTATAGCTGTCGTCTTTTTGGATAATTTATGGCGCCGTTCTGTGTGAAAACCCGGTTTTTTAAGCCCTTCTCTGTGTTCCTTTTTACTGCAGTAGATGACAGCATTTGTTCCTCAGATCGTATCGCTGGGGTAAACCTGTCCTTCAGGGAGGAAGTGTGTTTGGGTTTCTGCCGCATTTCTGGAGCATGTGCGGTAGGTGGAGTGGTCAGGGGCAGATGTGAAGGCCGCTTGTTTGTGCAGATGAAGGCCGTCACACATTTATCTGATTTATAGGAAGACAGGGATTAGCCAGCCCTTCCCTGCAAACTGGCAAATAAAGGGATTGTTTGGGATTCATTTCCCTGCCAGTGTCCCTTCCCAAACCCTCCCCACAAGTGCGCACATGCATACACACAGGTTTGTAATTATATCTTTGTGACGGTCCATTCATGTCAATGGGAAAAACCCTAATCCCAACAATGATAATCTTAACCCCTACCCAGCTCTGACCTTAACCATAAGTAACAAAACAAGGACTTTTGGCATTTTAAAATCTCTAATTGCAGTCACAGATTTTTTTTTATTTAAAATTCAGTTTCCCCTTGTGGGGACCAGAAGGAGGTCCCCACAAGGTAAAAAATTGAAGGTCTTTATCACACTATGGGAAATCTGGTCCCCACAATGTACTTACAAACACACACATGTTTTCTCCCCCCGAAGTGTGGGAACATGGCCAGAGAGGGACTTCGCACTCTGGTGGTGGCGAAGAAGTCCCTGTCAGAGGAGCAGTACCAGGACTTTGAGGTGCGGCCCGCTCTGGATCTCTCTCCCCCCGTCCTTCCCGCCGCCGTATCCCTGGCCTGTTCCCACGCCTCCCCCTCTCTCTAATCCCTCCAGAACCGGTACAACCAGGCCAAGCTGAGCATCCACGACCGGGGGCTGAAGGTGGCGGCCGTGGTGGAGAGCCTGGAGAGGGAGATGGAGCTGCTGTGCCTGACCGGAGTGGAGGACCAGCTGCAGGCCGACGTCCGGCCCACCCTGGAGATGCTGAGGAACGCAGGCATCAAGGTCTGTGGTGGCCACGCCCCCTGATACTTGGCCCCACCCACTGACATTCTCTAACTCTCTAATTCCCACTGATACTCACTTATGCTGTCAAACTGTACTTTTCAGTTCATTTTGATTTGAGTACTGAATATAAGTAATTATTATCCAATACTTATCCAGAGTACTGGATAAGTACTGTTAGGGAGAATACTGATATGAATACTGTTTGTACTCCCTGCCATCCCACAGTGGGTTTTATGTTTGGCTTGTCTACAGTCTGTACAGCTTCGCCACAGGGATCTCCCCTCATGCGCAGATTCTGCTCATTCTGTCTGCTTTATTTCTTTTCTTTTCTTTCCTTTCACCTCAGATATGGATGCTGACTGGGGACAAACTGGAAACGGCGACCTGCATCGCAAAAAGCTCGCACCTGGTCTCCCGCAGCCAGAACATCCACGTCTTTAAGCCCGTACGTGTAACCTCTATACCCACACGCAGCAGTTTGTCCCCGTCCCGCCTGCACGCACCATCAAGTCAGATTTGACAGTGACAGTTTACCATAACATCCCACTGGAGAAACAGGCGAGATTCGCACGTCTGGAAATGAGCACCATGGTTTATGGTGTCCACATCAGCCATATTTGTGTGGACATCAGATCACTAATTTTTCTCTGCTCTCTTGCATTTCTGCCTTTCGCGTCCCGACCCACGGCCTCGGAGCCTGTTTCTGTATCTCCTTCACACTGCGCTGAACTGCACTCTGGTGTATCCAGCTACGTGGGCGTTATTAGGGCGCGCATGTGTAAATGTTTCAGCTGTGTGTGTATTATTTATGCTGTGCGTGACCCATGAAGCATTAAGCCACACGCTAGCCGGTGCAGTGAAATGTAAACGGCACGTGGTCCGCCATTCTGTCCCTCAGTGTGGAGGGCGCCCCCCGCAGTCTGCAGAGTGACACTGCAATGTTCGGTGTCTGTGTCTCTCAGGTGGCCTCAGCTTTTGTGTGTGTATTCACCGAGCTGCAGGAAAATTTCATTACCAGATCCCAATCACACTGAACGGTCCAATCACACTGAAGGTGATGATACACAGGGCAACTTTTTGAGCAATGTTGCTGGGCGATTGCCAACCAGGTGAGACAAAGGGCAACTCATCCGGACCTGGGTTATGTTGAAAAGTTGCCCACTGCTGATCAGAGTTTTTTTTAAATACGAGTTTGTTGCCCCTTATCAATGGGAAGGTGCATAAGCAACATTTCTCATCAACATTACCTGGCAGTGTTGCTAAAAACGTATCGCCACCCTTAGAGGCGACTGCGGGGATGGAATCTTAGAGCCCATCAATGCACCTGAGAAGGAGGAGAAACAGGAAATGTGAAAATACGTGGCCCTTGGGTGCTTTTGTAAGCAGCTCGCTGATGCCGGGTTCCCCCTGCGCCAGGTCACCAGCCGAGGGGAGGCCCACCTGGAGCTGAACGCCTTCAGGAGGAAGCACGACTGCGCCCTGGTCATCTCCGGAGACTCCCTGGAGGTGCGATGAGCGGGCGGGCAGGCAGGGGGCGCTCAGGTGCTGCTGTTGGCCTGCAATATCAGTACGACTACGAAGCTGCTTCGCTGTTTCTTTTGGTCAGAATTAAACGCCATCATAAGTCGCTCTGGTGAAACGTAACAGATGGTAAATAAATCGGTCTGGTGAAAAGGATAATGGAGAGCGGATTAAGCAGCTTTATTTTAGGGCTACATTTACCTGATGGGTATAATTAACCACTTAATTTATCTTTTAGCTATTTTCTTTTAGTGCTGTTGTTTAACCCTCTGTGGTTATTCACAGCAAAACTTTATGTTCTAACCATGGAATGTTTTTCCCCATTAGTTTCAATTATATTAAATAACTTCAGCAATAAATATCAAAAGAGATATGGGAAATGTTGCCATGTATCACACACAGTGAGTATATGTACAGTATTCTGTTTGATTGGCTGTCATTGTCCTGGGATCGATGCCGATTGGCTGACGCACCGCCACGGTCCCACCCCTCAGGTGTGTCTGCGCTACTACGAGCATGAGTTTGTGGAGTTGGCGTGCCAGTGCCCCGCTGTGGTGTGCTGCCGCTGCTCGCCCACGCAGAAGGCACAGATCGTCACGCTGCTGCAGCAGCACACGGAGAACCGCACGTGTGCCATAGGTGGGGCTGGGGTGGGGCGGGGCGGCTCGTCCCATGGGGAAGCCAAGGAGCCCTTTGTTTTTTCTGTGTGTGAGTTGAAATACAGCCACGGGTTATCCTGGGGCCTTTTGGTGCTTTTGGGGGACAGCCACAAGGTGGCGCCCATCTTTCACCTCACCCCCCCCACACCATCTTCTGTGTTGCTCAGGTGACGGAGGCAATGATGTCAGCATGATCCAGGCAGCTGACTGTGGCATTGGCATCGAGGGAAAGGTAAAGAAACGGGAGGGCGGTAAGGCCCACGTCGTTCCCTTCAAATGCTCCCTAAGTATATCCCGCGAGGGCTGAGCCCATGATACGTATTACTTATCTGTCAGGAGGGCACCTCCTACTGGGCCGATCGGGTATTGACGGATGTACCCCCTCATTACCGCTTTGCACTGCTTCATGAAGCCCAGCCTGCGGCTGACACAGCGAGTGTTAATGATGCACTTTTCAGCGTGCGACAGGCTCGTCTCCCCCCCCCCCCCCCCCCCCCCCCCCCCCCCCAGCAGTTACCAAAGGGCGGCCCCCAGCGGGATAATTACACGCATTAATAACCATCCTCACAGTCCTCCGCATTTGCACATGAATCACAGATAACTGTGCAGTTCCCGGCAGGTCTGCTGTATATTACAAACAGCCTGCAAATGGGTCTGAACCGGGACTCTACTGTCTGAAAAGGGGATGAGAGTCTTCCCTTGGGAGTAAATGACAAGGACTGAGGAGAATATCCATGCCATTCAGACCACAAGAAATCATTTCAGATTGCAGCCTCTCCCCGGGTTACGATGGGGTTACATTCCGACAATGTCATCATAAGGCGAAAATGCATTTTAATACAGTACACCTAACCTGACAAACATCATAGCCTAGCCTAGCCTATGTTAAACATGCTCAGTACATTGTATTAGCCTACAGCTGAGCAAAGTCATTAACACAAAGCCTAATTTATAAAAAAAGTGCTAAACAACTCATGTAATTTATTAAATAATGTACTGTTAAAATCATATACCCATCGTAAGGTAATATCGTAACCTGGGGAGCGGCTGCATCTTTCTTTATGAAGAATGAAAATAATTTAAGACTGGTATCCGAAGTGTATAAATCAGCCTTCTCCTGGCCAGTTGGGGGTCCAGTCTATCTCAGGGGGTTTGGGGTGCTCAGGAATCCCCTCGCTGTGCCGTGTGTGTATACAGTCCTCCATACGCACGTGCCGACGCTCCCTATCTCACACGGTCTCCCCTCTTCACACAGGAGGGTAAGCAGGCCTCCCTGGCTGCCGACTTCTCCATCACGCAGTTCAAGCACATCGGCCGACTCCTCATGGTCCACGGCCGGAACAGCTACAAGCGCTCGGCCGCCCTGGGCCAGTTCGTCATGCACAGGGGCCTTATCATCTCCACCATGCAGGTTAGTGGAGACGGGGACTAGGTAGGTACGAGATCTGAACCTGGGCTGGCTCTGTTCCCCTGTACCAGGCAGGTGTGAGTGCTGAGCCTGGGCTGGGCCTGGTCACCTGGGCACTCTTCTTCTCCAGATAACGGTTTGCCATATCTCTCGTTTCAGGCTGTGTTTTCCTCCATTTTCTACTTTGCGTCGGTGCCCCTGTACCAGGGTTTCCTCATGGTGGGGTATGTCTCTGTATCCGCCCCGTTTCGCCTTTATCTGTATGGGGGAGTTACCCTGCCGCCTCTGCTTAGCTCCCCTGCTCTGTCACCTCGCCCAGGTACGCCACCATCTACACCATGTTCCCAGTCTTCTCCCTGGTCCTGGACCAGGACGTGAAGCCAGACATGGCGCTGCTTTACCCCGAGCTCTACAAGGACCTCACCAAGGTGTGGCCCCCTCCCCCCCCCACATGACACTGACCCCCCCCACACACACACATGACATGTCTCCTTCGTTTCAGGGGCGCTCCTTGTCCTTTAAGACGTTCCTTATTTGGGTCTTAATAAGTGTCTACCAAGGTGAGAGATTCCATCATTTATCCGTCTTTGGGGGTGTGTGTGTTTCTGTGTGTCTGTGTGTGTGTCTGTGTGTGTGTCTGTGTGTGTGTCTGTGTGTGTGTCTGTGTGGGTTATGTATATATTACATTGTGGGGACCAAATTTGAATAGCAGCATGTAGCGTTATCCCTGGCGCTCATCAAGTAACAGGCAACACTATTTGCCGAGTCCAAAAACACCGTTGTATAAACTGTTGTTGTTTGATGGTAAAAACGTATAAGTAAAAGTAATGATATTGCATATTTTGTGTGGTAATTGTCCACATTGAAGCGCACTACTCTCCGCCTGCCACAGGGGGCATCCTGATGTACGGGGCGCTGCTGCTCTTCGAGTCGGAGTTTGTGCACGTGGTGGCCATCTCCTTCACGGCGCTCATCTTCACCGAGCTGCTCATGGTGGCCCTCACCATCCGCACCTGGCACTGGCTCATGGCGGTGGCCGAGGCCGTCAGTCTCGGCTGCTATTTGGCCTCCCTCGCTTTCCTGAATGAGTACTTTGGTGAGCGCCCTCTGCTGCCAGTCCTCCAGCTGACAGAGATCCATGAATAGCTGTTTGATGGGGGTGGTTAGCAGAGTGTCCACTAGGCGGTGCTGTAGAGCCTTTCAGATAAACCTCATTAGTCCCCTTGTATTTTTTATATGGATAAGACTTTTGCTAACAATTCTTGAGGTTTTAATTATAATAAAATGAGTCAGTGAAAAGATTTCACAAATACAGCTATGTGAGTGTGTGTGTTGCCTGATTTCCAGCATAAATGTTGCCTTCTGCCATGTCTCAGCTTCTACCTCTGTGAGGCTTTCACTCTGTGAGGCTTTCACTCCTCTCCTGAGAGGCTTTCCCCCACCTGTTACAAACTCTCACTCCTCTCCTGAGAGGCTTTCCCCCACCTGTTACAAACTCTCACTCCTC